GACAACTCACTCTACCTCCTGAACTATAGCTGCTCTTCAGCACCAAACAGTAGACCGACAAAGTTGGCGACTAGCTGGTGAATGTAAAGGAGCTTTTAGGTGTGTTAATGAGATTGGTGAGACTCCACCTCATAGTCTGTATGTGGGTTGGGGAAAAACACATAAAAACAGACATCGGCTCATCATAGATTTCTTGATATGGTTATTATCTCCAGGCAGAGAATGGCTGTGCACGCCCACAAAGTGCAGCATGTCTGTCTGAGTTATTCAACTGCTTTGCTCAGGAGTGAGGACTTACCCTTTAAGTTTTTGTATGCCGAAAGTGCTTTTTTCAGTTTGGAGGAAAAGTTACATATTTTATGATATTTGCTCTGATGTCCTGCGGCTTCTTTGAATTGAATTTAACTGAATTTAAATGTCTTTAATGTCCCCAAGGGGCAATTTAGTTCACAACAGGTAGCCAACACATACACATTCGGACAGTAACACATAAAAACATGAAATAATGAATAAATAAAAGCATAAATACACATGTACACTATATATATATATATATTTGGAATAGGTCCACCTTAAATATATTGCCTACTGAATGAGTGACTCCCTGTGCAGGGTGCATATACAAACTATTGTAAACTGAGACTGGAGTCTACTGTAAGTGAAAGTAAAAAAGCAATGGACTGCACCCTCCTTAAATAACAGGCTGTTACAGACAGGCGCAGGTTGTGACTTGCATTGACACATAGATGGGAATGCTGCAAAGCCTGAATCATCAAACTGTTGTGTAACTGGGACAGCTACACATAAGGCTTGGCAACATGAGCAATTCAAAAATCTTTTTAAAAAGTTGTTAAATCATGCATCAGGCTTGTTGTGTTTGTATGTTTGTTTTTACCCCCCATCTTACTTGCCCCTCTACCCTCCCCCCGTCTCTAACCCCAACTGGTCGAGGCAGACGGCCACCCACCTAGAGCAGGGGTCTGTCTGTGAAGGAGTACAGTCTAGACCTGCTCGATTTGAAAAGTGTCCTGAGATAACTTCTGTTATCTGGCGCTATACAAATAAAATTGAATTGAATTGAATTGAATTGAATTGATTACATCACCTGGACACTTCAGGAAGTTGACTTGTCTAACATGATTCCCTAAATTAGTTAGAATATTTTGAACAACGATGTTCCATTACTTTTTATTTACTAGGCTATTAAATCCTTCTAATGTAAGATTTTGCCAAACTATTTGGTAGTTGGTCTTTTATAGAGAATTTCACCTTTTTTAAGCTTAAGCTTAAGTTTAAATATTTAGTACAAAGTTATTATAGTTAGCGACACCCCTGTTTTTATGTCATAAAGCCCTATATTTTCTCTCAAAGCTGATTAAAAGTTTCTTTTAGCCCCGATCAAAGTCCTTTACGCTGGATATAGATACCACCTCCCGATCCAATACCTACTTGTGTTTCTTGTTTAAGATAATACAGTGCGCATTGCAGTGCAAGTACATTCATTTATTTATCAAAATCAAACCAGTGTACCAGTGAGGTCCGTGTATGTTTTGGTCATTGGATTTTCCTTTCAGAAACGGGTATTAAAAAACAGAAAACGAGTGGTTATTTGATTTTCGTTTTAAAATACAAAAATTAAAATTGAAATACAAGGCGTTTTTCTTTTTCATGGTCAGAAAGGGATGAGCGAAATTTAAAAAATTGTTCGATTTTCATTTTCTATTTCATATAACAAAAAATAAAATCACTAGAAAACAGAAACAGAAAAAAGGCCTGTTGTTTCATATTCTGAAACCGGATGTTGTCATTTACAGGACGGTGCTGTGGAGAAGAAACAGTAGGCTAGTAGACTGCGGTCAATCCAGCCGTGAGTCCGATTTCCGTGGTCAAATCAGCCGCACTTAAATTTAGAGTGTACAAGTATTCTCAGCATTATGGTAAATGCGGAGAAACAGCGTATTTACTTCCGGTTTTCAAAATAAAGGTATTTAGAGCCGTAAGCTATAATTAAAATATGTTACATTAAAGTGTTTCATGCGCCCCTGATGAATAAAAAAAAACTTCATATCAAGTATCTTTACTGCACCAGTGTGGAGAAATGCCAAAATAAAAGCCTCATATTTATGCCTCCAGAGATTGCATATTTTCATATATTTGAGGTACTGTAAAAACACATTGCTCAGTGTTTCCTGGCTACTGATGGTATATTTGACTTTTACACATATGAGACTACAAACATACTTAATATCAAGCATTTTTACTGTACAACTTTGGAGAAATTGAAGAATAAAAGTCCCATAGTTATACTTCCAGATTCCATATTTTCTTATATTTGAGCTGCTGTAAAAATGTAAACTGTATGTGGAACCACCTGCAACAGCTGTCACAGAATAATATAAAAAATAATATGTGAGGAAGAGACAGTAGGTACAATGGTGTTTTGAAGTTAAAACTAATTATTTTTCCCTTTTACCTACAAATGGACACAGCAGAGCTGCAAAATAAGAAGAATGTGGACTGGCATTGCATTGTGTGAAAAGTAAACAAATTAGAATTGTGTAGGATTTTGTGTTTAGTGTTTAGTGTTTATATTATCAAGATGTTATTAAACATTTGTGTGAAATTTTGTCATGATTACTGCAGCATTATTGAAGTATAATGAAAATGCTTCACCCATAGCCAGGAAATATTGAGCAATATGTTTTTACAGTAGCTCAAAAATATAAGAAAATATGGAATCTGGAAGTATAAATATGGGACTTTTATTCTTCAATTTCTCCAAATTGGTACAGTAAAAATGCTTGATATTAAGTATACTTGTGGTCTTAGATGTGTAGAAGTCAAATATACCATCCATAGCCAGGAATTATTGAGCAGAGTGTTTTTACAGTAGCTCAAATATATGAAAATATGCCACATGGAGGTACAAATATGGGACTTTTATTGTTGAATTTCTCTAAAGTTGTACAGTAAAAATGCTTGATATTAAGTATGTTTGTAGTCTCATATGTGTAAAAGTCAAATATACCATCAGTAGCCAGGAAACACTGAGCAATGTGTTTTTACAGTACCTCAAATATATGAAAATATGCAATCTCTGGAGGCATAAATATGAGGCTTTTATTTTGGCATTTCTCCACACTGGTGCAGTAAAGATACTTGATATAAAGTGTTTTTTTATTCATCAGGGGCACAAGACTTAAATGTAACATATTTTAATTATAGCTTACGGCTCTAAATACCTTTATTTTGAAAACCGGAAGTAAATACGCTGTTTCTCCGCATTTACCATAATGCTGAGAATACTTGTACACTCTAAATTTAAGTGCGGCTGATTTGACCACGGAGATCGGACTCACGGCTGGATTGACCGCAGTCTACTAGCCTACTGTTTCTTCTCCACAGCACCGTCCTGTAAATGACAACATCCGGTTTCAGAATATGAAAAAACAGGCCTTTTTTCTGTTTCTGTTTTCTAGTGATTTTATTTTTTGTTATATGAAATAGAAAATGAAAATCGAATAATTTTTTTAATTTCGCTCATCCCTTTTTGACCATGAAAAAGAAAAACGCCTTGTATTTCAATTTTAATTTTTGTATTTTAAAAGGAAAATCAAATAACCACTCGTTTTCTGTTTTTTAATACCTGTTTCTGAAAGGAAAATCCAATGACCAAAACATACACGGACCCAGTGAGTAGGCTTATTGGCTTTTTGTTCGCGGGACTTGCACTTGCATTGGCGTGTTTAGTGCGGTTGAATCCGAGCTACCACTCTTTCCTCCGAGCACAGGCATCTGCAGCTGCAGAGTTTACCGCATTGCTGTTGATCACTCTCATAACACAAATTGGAGGAAAGAAACAGCAAGATAGTTGACGATGGCTGCACCGTGCTCAGTGAGTAAACAGCTGCGTGACAGCTGACGTAAAACAACTCAAGCCGATACCGATCAGTTAAATAATGCCTTGATCAGCGCCAATACCGGTCGTTGAGATCATCGCTATTCAAAACACTAATTTACATGTCACTGAGATGAAATTTCATGACAAACCCATATTGTGAAGAGAAATAATTTCCGACACTAGAAGTATACGCCTACATGTTAATCAGTTATCAGTAATTCTTTTTGTGATGAAGTCTTTGTGAAAATGAAAGTAATTCATGTTGCTCTCTCCCACCATTTTAAATACTGTCCAGTGCTGAACTGTAGGCTATAGTAGGTAGGCCTATATAGATGCATGATAATGTGTCTCCATCTGCTGGGCTACCGTAGATTTTAGTGTGACAAACGTCCTGTATGGCAAACTTTTCTTTACTCTTATGGGACCGTGGCGGTTGTGTCCTTTTGTTTGTATTATGATGTAAAATTGAATCTTTCATTGGGACCATCTTGATTTAAAGTGTAACCAGGGCTTTAGAAATAGTATGCAAAGGGGATTCAAGGTCATTTTAGACCTCCTAAATGTGTGTGTAGGAGTAAGGATAAACATTTACATTATTATCTGATTTGTATATTCTGCCCAACAGCTTTTGCAGTCTTGTTTCAGTAGCTGGTCTGGATTATATTAGTATCTTCGAGACCACTTTTGTAAATCAATATAACAAATCAATCATCTGATACAAAACACTTGTAATTGTTTTGGGGACATAGCCTACATGTACATCTATCTATCTATCTATCATCTCCATTCTTCTGGTGGGCACAAGGGAAATCCCAGAACTTGTGTTTATTTTTTGACTGCCTGCTGGCGTTGGTTCCACAGGGCATGCTATAACCCAATCCCAATACCATACTGACATTGTAGCTGCAGAAATACTGTGCTGGCAAAATAATCCTGTCTCCTAGAAAGCAAGTTTACATATAGACAGACACAACAGCAAACACATTTCAAAAGAATAATAATGCTGGCCAGATTACATTTTCTATTGACATCATGAAAAAATTAATTAACATAATTGGCAAGTCACAAAAATGTTGATACTGAGCATATCTGTAAAATGTTCCTTGACATGCATTTCATTTGCTTTCCAGCAAAATATCAGATTTAATTCAGTTCAAATTTATTTGTAGAGCACCAAACCATAAATCTCACACTTTTCCAATAGAGATCTAGAAATACAATATCTGCTTGTAACTTTTTTTAATGGTTATGTTACCATAAGGTATGGTAAGTAGCACTTTTTTCTTAAAAGTTGTGCACATAATCCAGGCAACAATTACATTTCCCACCACAATGTAATTGAAAAACAAAAAATAGAAATATATCAAAGGACAAAATTAAGCATTACTCTCAAAAGCAGGTTACTTTCTATTACAACAACTGTCACAGTTTCGCCAATCTATTTAGACTTTTTGGTAATTGCTTATGACCAGTGCACTGTAAAGAGAAAAATGTGATCACTCACATAAGTATTTTCCTTTATCTGGAATATCACCACAGGTGACATATTGGGTTATCTTGTATTTCAGATAAAAATGCATGTTGAGTGCAAGTTAGAAGAAAATGGAACTCAAATGCAAAATCCAAATACAGTTTCTAACACCACAATGCTGTTGCTCCTCGGAAAACATGCACACAATAGTAATGGTATTGAGAAAGAGGAATATGTAGTCAAAATTAATTCACTGCTTAATTTTTTCAAACATTTAATTAAAATATGAAAGTAGGATCTGAGGGAATAGTAATAATAATAATACATACCATACATCAACATATTCATTGTCATGTAAAAATGCGTAGGAAGCCAATTAACAAAATGTAACGACAGCCAAAACAAGTTTATATCAATGTCATTGGTGTCCAGTAGAGATCAGGCTGGGATCTGTTTGACCTTGGTTGGCACAAACAATGGAAGCAGCCCTTTTGAGAGTGGAACATTTTCCTCCCCTTCCAATCTTGGTAATAACTATAGGTAAGATGTTCTGTTACTGTGTAACTGTACTAGATGCACAAAGTAACTAATAATAATCTTTTCTTTTGACTAGATCTGATAGCAACAAGTGCACTTACTAACATATCAGATTTCCTTTAAATAGCTACTACACACTTAAACATGTTGTTTGAGCTGCAAGCTAAGTTATATGACTGTACAGTGATAAAACACATCAATGCTGGTGTTAATATGGACTTAACCAAATTTATAAAAAAACCAACGAAATTTCATGGCCTATAACTGGCTCAACGTGCCATCTATAGTTTTAAATCACCCTTGCAAGGGCAATACTGACATAGTTGACCATTTGTATAATAACACTCTGATGATTGAAACATATCATTCAGAGGAGTATATGCTAGTTTTTGCTAACCCTCTTTTTTCAATTTTGGAACTGTTTAGATGGTTTGGCTGGAGAAGCACCGGACTGCAATCTTTACCTTGATCCCACGCGCTGACAGTCCCTGTACACACACACACACACACACACACACACACACACACACACACACACACACACACACACACACACACACACACACACATCCGGAGTTAGCCTCTTTGAACCGTTAGCTTAACTACAACAAAGGTACCACACAGATATAAGTTTACAGACGGCAGTCAATGTGCTTCTACTGACTGTAAAAGTGACTGTACCACGCCCCCTGAAGTGGCTGTCCTTTACTGGTCTCTGATGCATTTTTTTATTTGCTTAGAGGGAGGAAGCTAGCAGAATTGAGGGATGTCTTCTGATCACACTAAAAAACAAAAAACAACAAGAACAGAACATTGAAGAGAAAAGAAAACAACAATGTGGTTCCCTTGAGTGTAATGATAAAATTCAAACCTTCAAGTGTAGAATCGTAGGCAGCAATAAGCTGCCATAATCATCTCAGGAATCAGTACATATGGATATGGAAACTGACAAGCACAATACAAAAATTAGGACTTGTCCTTCTTCTTCTTTTTCTCCTTCTTCTTTTTCTTTTTAGATGATTTTGCTTTTGGTATTTTTCCTTTGTCGTTGTCACTACTATCACTGCTTTCATCTTTTACTTTAACTTTTTCTCTGCTGTCCTTGGATGATTTCCCCTTGTGGTCTGCGTCTTCCACTTTGACTTTGCTATGGCTTGCCTTGTTCACCTCGTCCATAACCCCGATATCCGGAGGAGGTGTCAGTCCACGGGATACCGTTATGAGCATCCTCTCCTTTCTCATCTCTTCTTTCAAGAAGATGTTTTCCTGCCCAGTCCTGTGGCTTCTGTGGTGGTGGTCTTCATATTTACTTCTGTGATCTCTATCGTCTCTCCAGTCTTGTTGGTAGTGATTCCTGTGGTCTCCTGAATCTCTATCGTAACCATAGTCCCTGTGATCTCTCCTGTCTGAGGGGTTTAGGTGTTTGTTATTGCTGCTGTTAAAATAGCACGAGTGTCCTTTGCTGTCTCCAGCATGCTTGTCTCTCTGCACTTTCTGCTAAAACACATAAAAAAACAAATTTTGCAGTGTGAAGATAAAGAAGATAAAGAAACTACGAGCTAAGAGGAGAAATTGAATACCATGATATAGTGTGACGCAGCAAGTAATGTAAGCTATGTTGTGGGTTAACAAAACTAACAACCTGCTACTATAGCTAACATTACAACAACAGCATATTTTGGCAAACTAGAAAGTAAGCAAAAAGTCTGTGGGTAATTAATTTAATGTTACCTGACACACAAATCCTGGCTGGAACAGCTGGACTAGCAAGTTAGTGTTGTGTGGCTTAGTCCACTTTCTTTGTTTTGCATTTACAGATCCAGGAATGTGTACAACCACCGGGTTTACAATTAGAAGCACTTGCCCCAAGAATTTAGAGGCTTTTGCCTCATACAATTATATTTATCCTATAAGAACACCAAAACCAACAATGCATCAGTTTGTCTCTTAGTAGTTTCTGACTTTCCTACTCTGGCACTCAGCTCAAAGCCCATTAGTTCATAATGAAGACATACGTATTTAAAAACGGCTCACAAATATACAGACTAATTTTAAAAGTGATTTGCTAAAACACCTGGCCTGCAGTTTTTAACAAACATGGATTTGTTAGGGACTATTTTCAGTGGTAGATTAATCCACATTTGGTGCTCTAGTGGTTATTTGGGACAGCAGGATGGTGTAAATAGGATAGAGTACAAATAAACTACAATGTGTGTGTTCATGGCAATAAAGGAAAATGTCACCCACTATAAAGTGTGGCTGACATTGGACAACAATGGAGCTTTATGGCACAGGGAAATAATATGTATTAGGCAAACACAATACTTGTTAGTAGGAAACATTCATTTTTGGATTTGACTTTTCATGGGATTTTTGAATACAAAAAATATAAAACGTCACCAGATGTCCACACAGAGGTATATGGGAAGTATACGTACACTGCTAGAGTTACTATGGCGGTGAATAGCCGTATGGTTTTCAGCACTATTCAAATCTCCAATGAACTCCTCACACCTCTGGCAATAGAATCCAATTACTGGTGTCAGAAAACTCATTCCTGCAAAGGGACAAAAAAAGGAACGGAGCATATGGAGTATTTAAGAGGAAGACAGACAACATGAAAGACAGGGTTTTCATTAGAGAAAACTGCTTTACCATCCTGTTTCAACAATCCTTCCATTTCTTTCATCAAGGATTCCATTTTAATCATTCTGGCTTGTTTCTCTCTCTTCCTTTCCTCATTGTCACCTATCTGGGAAACACAAGTGACAATTTCAAAATTAGGGTTTTGCCATTCTTTAATGTCAACACTCAAATGTTGTCAATGACACAGCCTGGAAATCCTTTACCTTGTGTTTATTAGAGGATATCTGAGTTGTGCCACTGCCATCTCTTTTTGCCCGCTTCTCCTTTGTCGCTAAAGGAAGACAGAACAACAAAATAATCTTGTATTCTATATCAAAAGCATTAAACAATAAAGACAGAGAAGATAAATCACCTGGCCAGGTGGCAGCAGTTTCCAACTTATTTATCATTCGTCACTTAATTCTCACATAAAGCAAACCTCCAGGACTGCCTTCTTTCATATACGTAATATTACAAAAATTAGACACATCCTATCACAGACAGATGCAGAAAAACTAATCCATGCATTTGTTACTTCTAGGCTGGATTACTGCAACTCTTTATTATCAGGCTGCCCTAATAAGTCCATTAAGACGCTCCAATTAATTCAAAACGCTGCAGCACAACTACTGACAGGAACTAGGAAAAGAGATCACATCTTTCCTGTATTAGTTTCTCTGCACTGGCTCCCTGTAAAATTTAGAATACATTTAAAATCCTCCTCCTCACCTACTCACTCTTCATGGTCAGGCCCCTTCATATCTTGAAGAGCTCATAGTACCCTATTACCCCACTAGAACACTGCGTTCTCTGAATGCAGGGCTACTTGTGGTTCCTATAGTCTCAAAAAGTAGAACAGGAGCCAGAGCCTTCAGTTACCAAGCTCCTCTCCTGTGGAACCAGCTTCCAGTTGCAGTTCGGGAGGCAGACACCATCTTCACATTTAAGAGTAGGCTTAAGACGTTCCTCTTTGATAAAGCTTATAGTTAGGGCTGGATCAGGTGAGTCCTGAACCTTCCCTTAGTTATGCTGCTAAAAGCCTAGACTATCGGGGGATTTCCCATGGTGCACTGAGCTCCTCTCTTCCTCTCTCTCTTTCTGCACTCATTCATGTCCCATTAATGAATGTTACTAACTTTACTTTTTCCCCGGAGCTCTTGTGCTTTCTCGTCTCACAAGTTCTCATGGATCCTGGTGGAGCCTCCTACCATGGTCCTGCTTGACTCCCATTGCTAATATCATTGATATTATTGTTATTATTAATATTATTATTACTACAGTTACTATTATTACTATTGTCACTGCTCATTGTCCCCCATCGTTGCTGTTGTCGTCGTCATCGTCTTCTTCATCATCATCAGTCACTACTATTGGTGTAGTTGTTGCTACTGTTGTTGCTGTGCACCTGTCTGTCTGTCTGTCTGTCTCTGTCTCTCTCACCCCAACTGGTCGAGGCAGACGACCACCCACCTAGAGCCGTAGGGTCTGTCCTAGGTTTCTGCCTCTTAACAGGCAGTTTTTCCTTGCCCCCATTGCCAAGTTCTTGCTCATGGTGGTACTGTTGGGTCTCTGTAAATGTTATAAGGAGTTCGGCATTATTTTTAACAGTTAAAGCGCTCAAATACTGGCATGTTGCCAATAAGGAAAAATAAATTCAATTGTATTTTTATCATAACAAAAGTTATCTCAGTTCATATAGAGCAGGTCTAGACTGTACTACCCAACAATTGCCACCATGAGCAAGCACCCTTTAAAGAGGCAGAAACGTCAAGTAGACACATAAATAACACAAATGTCAGTAATGCATCATAGTAGGACTCAACACACGACCACTTTCTCACAGTGGACTAAGTTGCACACATGAAGGCACAAAAATGCAGCAGGGCTCGAGTACATGCTTTAATTCTGTTTTATCTATGACCGAGTATGGTCGCATATTGCAGCAACAAATACTGTATTAGTTACTGCATTGGCATGGTCGGAACCTGCAGTGAGAGGCTGTTCTAATGCTGTGGGGAGGAGTTGCATTCCAGGCAATTTCCATCTCTCATTTGTATTTGCCATTCAAAAGGCAGCAACATTGCATGAGTTTGACAAACCTGGCCAACAGGGCTAAGCTGACTAGCATGCTACAGCTGATAAACAACTTGCGCACTACCAAAACTTTCGGGATAAAGCCTGCGCTCTAGAATTTCTGTTCCAGTGCGAATAGTAGACATAAACAGACTTGACAGTAACTGTTTCGGTCACAGGTCATACCAAACTGAAGAAGTCTTATTGGCTTGTTTTCCAAACACAGGGCTCCAGACTAACTTTTTGCATTGGTTGCACTGGTGCGCCTAACTTTTTTTTTTTAGGTGCACCAGCACAAAATTGAGGTGCACCCAAATTTTTCATTGCGTTGCCTTTAACGCCATAAGGTCACCTTTTTATCGCTCTCCATAACTTTTATATAATGTGAATGATTTTTAAACAAGAATAAGGTGTAGAGAAATGCTTGTCTTTATTTGAAGCACAATTATATATAAAAAGAAAAATAAAGTGTTTAAAGTGCTTCACTGAGCTGAAATTGAACATTTCAAACTAAAACACTAAGCAAAATAAAACATTTCCAAATGAAAGTGCTTGTGCTTAAATTGCTTCACTGAACTGAAATTGAACATTTCAAACTCAAAATGAAAAAATAAATAAAATAAAATAATTATTAATGATAATAATAATGATTACTACTTCCTGCCGCTGAAATGCAGCTGGGAGAGGGGCCACTTTCTCTACACACTTGTCACGGCATATCCTGTGTTTTTTAGACATGTTATGTTTTTTTAAAGTTTCGATACGAACGTTGTTGACCCGCTCACGAATGCACTATTTCCGGCCTTTTCTGACCGCACTCCTGACATTACACACAGTGCATTGTGTTACGTCCTTTGTTGTACCTCAGCCAGTCCTGTCTGAAGGAATATATTTTGACCTTTTTAATTTGGGTCTCAGAGCCGGGCTCTATCCCAGACTCGGTTGTCTCCTCCTCTGGTTCCGAGTCTGATGCTGTCGCCGAAGGACCGGGGCTTGGTATCTCACCAGGGACGGATGGACTCTCAGTAGTAGGGCTGGTTGTAGGCTTGGTTTTCTTAATGAAAAAACTTTCAATATTTCTGCCTCTCTTCATTTTCCCTCGTTTTGTCGTGTTTATTTTATTTTTCCGTTTCAGTTAGTCAGCTACTCTTGCGCTCAGGTCGTGCACAATTTTTAACACACAAAATTTAGCGCGGTGAACAGGACCACAGCCAATCAGAGGCAAAGACCTGCCCGAGCTCTGTCTCTTGTTGGTTTAGAACACGATATGATCCTTCCATGAGTGTGTGAGCTTGCGAAATAAATTTATGTTTTCACCCGGGCAGCGTCAGGTGCACCGGTACAACCTAGAAAAATTATTAGTCGTACTCTTAAAAATTTTGGTCGCACTCTGGAGCCCTGAAACATCCTGTACTTAACAGTTTGGGAAGAATACACCCTTGAAACCCAAACAGCTTTTTATTGATATTTACTATCAAATAAAAAAAAAACTGTAATTGAACAAGCTCAATAATCAAGTTGAATCTTTCATTCAATACAGGATACTCACCTTTGATCAGTGATTGTAGAGACTCCAGAGCTTGTCGCACATTTGGGTCACTCAGTGCTGGCATTACTAAGCCTGTTGCTGTTGGGTCCGAACCAAGAAGTGCAGGAAACATATGTTTCCCCTCTTTCTGCCCCTGCATCTTCACCACGATCTCGCTGATGTCTGCAGTGCCCAGACTTTCTAATATGTTCTTGATCTTCTCACATTCACTGCTGTCTAGATTGGAAGAGACTAAACTTGAGGAAGTCATCTGAAGGGGTTGTTGCTGTTGACTGCCAAGAGCAAGACTATCCATTTCCTGTGGTTTGGCATGTTCTCCAATCTGGGAAAACTCTGTAAAAATTGTGGTTCTTTTAATTTTAGAGGACTTATTGGCTTGTTTTCCTTCAACGTCTTCATTCCCATACAAGAATGACTCTTCATCTTCAAGCTCATCAGCTTTTCGGACTGTGGAGTCCTCTTGACTTTGTACCTGGAGCCAAGAGAAGTCACTTCCTACTCTGTCATGAGGAAGGAGCATACTATCATTTTCCAATGATATTGAATTCTCCCGACTGACGTGCTGCTGATGCCTGTGCTCATCTGGAAAAGACTCCACTTTTTTGCTTTCATCTGAGGCCTGGACAGAAGAGATAACAATGAGATAGTATTAACCAAAGTCTCATTGGTCAGGTTATCGCTCGTAATATCACTTTCACTAAAATAAATGCTTCTATTTTTGGGGATTGGAGGGACATATGCAGACCTGATGTATGTTATATTGTTAGAAATAACAATATGTATGAAAATATCAATATATATATATATATATTTTACTCTTTAATAATCGTATGGTTTAATAGATGATAAGACCCACAAGCCAGAAGTCAAAACACCAGGGCTCACTTTATTGAACATAACTCAGCTCCAAACTAACTGACACAATGGCACTACATTGGCCCCCAGACTCACAGGACAGAAAAGCTTTATTTAGAGGGTTATTCATATATTTTTTTATACTGCGTTATGAAGGTGACTCATCCACGGATAAACAATGACTTGTGGCTGCAAATTAACTAGCTTTTATCAGTGAAGCACTAACATCGTACTATTGTGCTAGGCTAGATCAGTTTTACAACAGATACACTGTACAGAGTTTTTGTTTTCTTTCAGCTTGACATGATCCAGAACTTTCATCTGTGCAAAACATAGTGCGCTCTTTTACTGTATGTAGTTACATGGAATAAACAAAGCCTCCATGCAAAGAATTTTCATCAATGATTTTTAGTAACTGAGGTTACTTGAGGAATGGTTTCAGCCCTAGCCCTAACTATATTATAGTTTGATATTAAGTGATATTAAATGTATGCCAAAGATCTTTATAAAATCTGGTTTCCCTTACTGTTTATGGTTTATACGTCTGTCTGGAATGGTAGTTGTACAAATAATCTTGTGATGTTTAGGTAGACAACAAACTGTATGACAAACTGCTGCTCCATGTAGTTGCTACAGAATTTTTTGCATTGAATGGAACTTGAATAAAATGTATTGTGAACATCTATGATGATAACCCACTGAAACAAGACATTTTGTAGTATTAATAATGAGATCTACCTGAATAGTGAGGATGGCATCTTTGAGGGTGGGCAACCGCTCTTCCATTTCTTTGCTGTTCATGACCAGCTTCAGTCCTTCCAACAGACTATTTTCTGTCAGATTATTAATGCTGATGCAGCTGTGGTTCGGACTCCTCTTTCTTTTTTTGTCTGTGCCATGGCTCTTTTCACCACTGCTACTTCGTGACTTGGACCTCCTGACCCGGCTCTTGCTTCGCACATGACTCCTCTTCTTGCTTCGGCTGTGGCTCCGACTCCTACTGTGAGCCCTGCTTTTACTTCTCACTCTACTCTTGCCACGAGCACGACTTTTACTCCTTCCTCTGCTTCGGCTGCGTGCATGGCTTTTGCTTCGTGCACAGTTCTTGGCTTGAGATCTGCCGCGGCTTCGGCTTTGGCTTCTGCTCCTGTTCACATGCTTCTGAAACGCAAGGTCTGATTTGACTACTTCTTTCAGGACTTTAGCTGACTGAAATGCATCAGCCAGGTTGTATGCCATGTTCCCTTTGAGATAGTCTGGGAGAGGCTTGTTGGCTGCAATGCATCTCAGGAATTCCTCACCAGCTCGGTCACTGAAAATCAACAAAACAAAATGTGTTTCAAACACCAGCAAACACAAAAAGGACAACTGGTCCAGCTGAGACTTATACAAAATACTTAATTTAAACATATATACACACCTGTTGTCTGGAGAATGATGTTCTGCAGGACTGGGATGCCACTGTGGGACCTGAGTGTGCGTTGGTTCTGCAGGAGGGCCGATCTGCCGCCTGCCTCCCAAACCAATCACTGTACTATGGTCTATGGAGAAGCTGCTACAGTGGGGCTGAGAGTATTCAGAATTTATGTTATAGTGCTGTACAAGACAGAACTGCAATAGCATATTTAAGATAATACTTATTTAATTTGGAACAGTTGTACTCGTTCAAAGGTTTTACTTTTTAAATCTTTGAGTGATAGGAATATTTGATATTAGGTCGGTCCTTGTTACAGAGGCAATGAAAAATATGTTTACAATTTGCCAGTCATATTGCATCTTGTTGATCAGTGAAATGCTAGTCCACAGAAATCAATGGCACTGGAAAAGCTGAAATGAAATAGTAATAATCCTAATTATCAGTAACATCTACAAATGACTTAAAGGTTGTCTTCACAATCCCTACCAGCCTTGGATACTTACAAAGAGAAAACACAAGTAGGCCAAGGTGACCAGTTACAGTTCTTGCGGTACACACAATGTGTCTGTTGTATTGTGGAAGACGTGCACCCAAGCCACGGCGTAGCTATGGCAGAAATGTGCGTTGCTGTAGCTATGCCGTAACCCCTTATCACACAACTATGAATGCATCTTTTGGGTGTGCTTGTCAGAGAATGGTATAACCTTTTCGCCATTCATCACGTTTTAAGCACTTGACATACTCAAGACAGTACTGGTATGATAAGCAATAAGGTTAAGATAATAGAAAAAGGTATACGAAAATACGGTTACACAGTTTTGCAATATTCTGTTTCGGTGTATTTTTATCAACTAGTGCAGTGCCCGTAGGAAGTATGTATTGCTATAGAAAAGTGTGAGGTTAAGTAGCTTTTTCATTGATGGCCAAATGAGGTTGTGTTTGAAGGTGGGACATCAGGGACATTTAGGACATATTATTTAGCCCTGTAATATAGGCCAGCATACATCAGAGAGACAGAGAGAGAGAGAGAGAGATTCAGGGATCCAGCGAGGGGGGAAATGTCGCTCCGTCCCTGATCCTCCTCTGGAGGTAGTATCAGGGACGCATTATTTTTTTAATCGCCTACAGCGTGAACGGATAAGCCGACGGCGCGGCGCGAGGGCGTGTCGGTCAGACAGTCTGATAACTGCACAGGTCTCTCACTCAACTTAATAAAGAGAAATGTCCCACAAAAGCAACGTTACAGGACCAAACAACAGTAACGTAACTGTCTTTGGAAACTTACATGAGGAAAAAAAATACCACAGCTGTACGTGGAGAAGCGTCTGTCCTCCTGTCTGTCCTCCCGCCTGTCCTACCGACTCTTTGTCACATTTCTGCCCGAAAAACAGCGTCTGTCACCGGCGAAAAACTCGCGAAGTGTTAAAAGATTCCTCGTCTTGTGAGTCAGGGAGTCAGTTTACTGCTGGTGATTATTATGTAATAATTGTGTAATTTAGAGTGAATAACTTAACTTCGTCACTTTCCAGGATTGGTGGGTCAGGATCTCAATCACTACACATTATAACAGCATCCATATGATTATGAAGTGTGTGGTTTAGATTGACAGGGGGAGACAACTGGGAAACCAGCACAAAATTTAGGTGCACCCAAATTTTTCATTGGGTCGCCTTTAACGCCATAAGGTCACCTTTTTATCGCTCTCCATAACTTTTATATAATGTGAATGATTTTTAAACAAGAATAAGGTGTAGAGAAATGCTTGTCTTTATTTGAAGCACAATTATATATAAAAAGAAAAATAAAGTGTTTAAAGTGCTTTACTGAGCTGAAGTTGAACATTTCAAACTAAAACAATAAGCAATATAAAACATTTCCAAATAAATATCGAGCTCTGTCTCTTATTGGTTTAGAACATGATATGATCCTGCCATGAGTGTTTGAGTTCGGTCACAGGAGAACACAGAGAGATGATGCGCTTGTGAAATAAATTTATGTTTTCACCCGGGCAGCGTCAGGTGCACCGGTGCGACCTAGAAAAATGATTAGTCGCACTCTTAAAAATTATGGTCGCATGTGCGACCAAAGTGGTCGCGCTCTGGAGCCCTGTTTCTGCTAACTTGTTTGATTTCCTTAAAGGACAATTCCGGCGCAAAATGAACCTGGGGTTAATAACACATGTGTACTGAGTTGGTCCGTTCTCTGGGATATGTTTTCATGTTAATCGACTGTGACCGGTTTTAGCACAAACCGCTAATTAGCTTATAATGCTAGCAAACGGGGCACAGAGTAACGTGAAAAGAAATCGCTTTTTATACCACTAACAAGACTCAAAATAGCACCACACTTACACGGTACAAGACCACAGCCAATCAGAGGCAAAGACCCGCCCGAGCTCTGTCTCTTATTGGTTTAGAACACGATATGATCCTACCATGAGTGTGTGACTTCGGTCACAGGAGAACACAGAGAGATGATGCGCTTGCGAAATAAATGTATGTTTTCACCCGGGCAGCGTCAGTTGCACCAGTGCGACCTAGAAAAATTATCAGTCGTACTCTTAAAAATTTGGGTTGCACTCTGGAGCCCTGGACAGACAGACAGAGATTTCTTGCTTTATAGATAGATGCTCAATTGCCTACAGCAGTGGTTCCCAAAGTGGGGGGGAGATCCATTCCAGGGGGGGCGTGGTACGGCTACAGGGCTAAATGAATGAGGCATGCTTGGACACTGCTAGCAAAACATGGAGAAGTTTTTGACTGGGCTCCCACCAGTAAAGCAGAAGATGAACAGTCACCAGATGTGCTCCCAAAGCTAGGCAAGGCAAAGACAAGAAAATATGACGAGACATATCTCGCCTTTGGCTTCACCTGTACAACGGTGGGTAATGAGGAGAGACCACAGTGTGTTGTGTGTCTCAAAATACTAGCCTGTGACAGTTTGAAGCCAAACAAGCTAAGGCGCCACTTGGAGAGAATATACCCAGAGCACAAAGACAAGTCAGTTGACTTTTTCAGAAAAAAACTCAAACTGCCGTGCTCAACAGTGTCGCTTTACTAAAGCTGCATCCGTGCCTGCAAATGCCCAACTCGCTTCGTATAAAGTTGCCTACCGAGTGGCACAATGTAAAAAGTCGCACACAATAGCTGAAGAATTAATACTTCCCTGTGCTATGGACATGGTTTCAACTATGCTTGATGACACAGCAGCCAGCAAGCTAAGGGCTATTCCTCTGTCCGACAATACCATTGCCAGGCGCATTTATGATATGTCAAAGGACATAGAGGAGCAGCTTAATGATAAGGTGCGTGACATCCGCTTTGCTCTGCAGATGGATGAAGCAACTGACAGTAACAAAGACTGTTTACTGATAACGTACGTCAGATTCATTGATGATTTGAGGGAGGAATTGCTTTTCAGCAAAAAAAAGTTCTTGGCAGAGCCACTGTAGAAGAACTGTTTAAAATCATTGACACTTCTTGAAAGAGGCCAATCTGAATTGGGAGGACTGTGTGGGGATCTGCACAGACGGGGCTCAGGCTATGGCTGGGAAACATGCAGGGCTGTAAGTGCTCATCAAGCGCGTCTCCCCCAAAGTGCAGTGGACGCACTGCATGATACACCGTGAGGCACTGGCGTCTAAACAGCTGAGTCCTGAGCTGAATGTAATGACCGACATCATTGCCACAGTCAACTACATCAAAACACGACCTGTCAAATCGCAGATTTTTTCACCACTATGTGAAGAAATGGCCTCCGACCATACAGCTGTTCTGTTTCACAGTGAGTCCCAATGGCTGTCACATGGGAAGGTGCTGTCCAGGGTCTTTGAACTGCTAGATGAGATCTGCATCTTTTTGGAGAAAGAGGGCAGTGATTTTGCCCACAAGTTTAACTCAAAAGTTCCTCATGAAACTTGCATACCTCAGTGACATGTTTCTGAAACTCAATGAAGTGAATTTGGAGCTGCAGGGCAAAAACACACACCTTCCACATCTGGCAGATAAAATCACATCTCAAATTTTCTCAGCAACCAAAGGGGGGCCAAGCAGAGAAAGTTTGGGAACCACTGGCTTACAGTATCGCAATTTATTGAATTGTAACCCCTGTATCATTACATGGATTATGTTACCAGACTCTTACCAAGTCACAGTCCTAATGAGCACAGCAAGTATTTCCAGTGCTGGCAGTATTTGTAGCAGACTAGTGGTACAATGTGTAGCATGCCAGTGCAGAGCCCAGGGACTACAGTAAAGATACAATGGACCAGACTTAAGAAAGACAGCAAACTAGTTTTCTTTTAAACTGTTGATATATTTGAAGACAAAACATAGCAACAGGACGACATTATCATGAGTTATTACACACAGTGGAAATAAAAGACACAATGCATACAATGTATATGAAACATGAAATTGTCAAGTGGATGTGAAAAAATAACCTTATTTCATGTAGTCACTAAAAATATTTTATCCACATTTCATTTACTGCTTAGCTTAACTTTGGTGAACTCAGACCACACAAATTCCTGATGTAGCAAGACTTCTTGACAGTGTTTGAGAATCGAGAGCTGGAGGGTCCAAAATGGACATTAATTGCTGTTATGTCTTTCCGTAAAACTTGTAATAATGGTCTAGGCCAGGCATGGGCACTCTACGGCCCGCGGGCCACATACGGCCCGTTAAGCTTTTTAATCCGGCCTGCCTGACTTGTTCAAACTATATTATTAAATTTAATTATTAAATTGCATTCATTTTGACATCCCTGCAATTACCACGTTTCCCCATTTGACACCCAATTACCCTTGTTGGAGTGTGGTGTTTTATGCTGCGTTCAGGTGCTCCTTGGATTATCCTAAATAAACATTTGGTCATTTTGATTGGCGATTTGGCTCTTTATTTAGGGTTAAATCCCAAGCCGTTGTTGATAAATCACTTTTCTAACACGTCTAGATCACTTATGTGGACGTTGAAATGTCTGAGCTAAACGCTGACATGCAAAGTTTTTTAAAATCACAAACGATCGTTGGCTGACATTTAGATGACGAATATGACATCATTCCTAGATCAACTAGGGACTTGTTTATCTGATGTTTCCAAATGCACTTGAATGCAGCATAACTCTCAACTTTACTTTTTCTACATTGCAT